GATCAGCTCCAGGCATGACGAAGCAGATATCGTCCTCTTTTGGAAAGCCAAACAAAGTAGTTTCGCTTTCACAACATAGCACACAGCGCCTTCACGACATGGCGGCAACAAAAATACTACAGCGAGAATAAAAGTTACGCCTTCTTTCTTTGCGTGAACATTTGGGCGACGTTATGCAAATCTTCCCACATAGTGAGGTAGATATGTGGGGGCGTGTTAGAACGAGCCGTTTTAGGTAGGCGTGGCTGACTCTTAACTTTTATAAAGAATATCTCTTTGGGTTTGAGACTTTAGTCTTTGCAACTTTACAGATCTTCTTTATGCATAAGAGCTTGTAACACTCCAAAGAGAAAGGAAAAATTTAAATCACATCATATGACCCCTTTAATATTAAAGTCAGTTTAACTGTAGGCTGTTGCATTATGTTTAAGTGTACTAATTTGTTTATGCAGTATGTCCAAAGAGTGTGGGTTGGGAGAAGAACGCTAAAGGAGCGATGGGACCTCGAAGTGTCAATCTCAGTGAATGCATGGACCCTAAAAGGTACTGAACATCTGGCGTCAGTTTACACACTCTGACATGGTTTTCTCAGAGCTATGTGACACATTTCATTCATTTCCTCAAGGCTTGCCGAGTCTTCTGTCGATCTCAACCTGAAGCTGATGCGTTGGAGGCTGGTCCCGTCTCTGGATCTGGATAAGGTCGTGTCGACAAGGTGTCTGTTGCTGGGAGCTGGGACCCTGGGCTGCAATGTGGCAAGAACACTGATGGTAAGAACCATCTGCTTTTGATTTACATTTGATTATCGACTGTTTATCGCATCTGACAGGTGTCAAAAAAGTATCGATTTCTTGGCTTGCTTTATGTCATTCAAGTGCTTACTTGCCTTTGGCATAATCGCTTCGTAATGGTTTTTGAAATAGTCGTAAGCCAAAGACTGTAATTATAGAAAGCAAGTCGCAGATGCTTCCATCTCAAAATGATAGTGGTGTCACTTGAAAATGCAGCTAATTGCGAGTATAAGAGTGTTTTTACACTGGGTTCCTACAGCCAGTGGTGGAAAGTGGGGGGGGCAATAATAGTGGTAATTTTAGATGACCTTTCGGATGCATTTAATTATAAAAGACTTTATAATCTGCAATAACATTTATTAACAACTTATTTGATATTTTCTCTAAAACTTCTTGTATATTAAGACAAACACCTGCAATTCTGGCCAAATGAAAGATACATTGTGTGTGAATTTGCACATGTTATAATGTAAGCATCATTAATGACCCCCTGTGTTTAATTAAAAAAAAAGATTGATTAGTGCATTTTTTTGTCTAAAAACCTATTTTTTGACAAAAACCTTTGTCGATAAAGCACACAAATCTGTAACGGTGGTGTGTTTGTGTGATTGTAATGCATATGGCATACAGTATCACTACCGCTTCAATGGGATTACAGCTGGTCACAGCTTCTGTAATACTGCAAATGGCAGACTGAATGTTTTCTGTTCTGTTTTTGAGGGCTGGGGTGTGAGGCACATCACTTTTGTGGACAACGCGAAGATCTCCTACTCGAACCCAGTGCGACAGCCGCTCTATGAGTTTGAAGACTGTCTCAGTGGAGGGAAAGCTAAAGCTCTCGCCGCGGTGGACAGATTAAAGAAGATCTTTCCTGGCGTGGTGAGGACTTTCACAAGCTTTAACAAGTTTATTGCAGCTGCATATAAGAAGCTTGAGAAGCACTAGGCAGGTGCTGTTTGGGGTTGGTTGAACAGTAGTTACAACAGACAGAAATATTTTGAACTTTGTATAATTATTGGAACAGTTACATCTGTGTATTTATTAGACTAATGATGCATGAATAAACATCCGAGAGGCTGTATGAACCTATACTGTGGGCCGCTAGTTTGAGACCATTAGATTAATCAGTAGGACTCAATTACAACACGCAATTATCTACGACAATGAAGTCTGAATTATTCATTTTAATATTGATGAATGGTATTTGGCTGGTCTGTAGATGTATCTGACCAGTCCGGATCACTGATGCTCATTATCTTTGAGAAGTCTCACAGCATTTAATCCCACATTGTAACCCATTTTCATATGAAATGCGGCTCATTTATATTCATCTGCTGAGCGATCCTCTCACTGATCTTATGGCTTCTTCCAGAAGCAAATTTGCCTTTTCTGTTTTCACTGCAGTTGATCAGTGAACTCCCTTTTGGATGAAAGCAGAAGTTTTTTTAGATTTAGATGTTTATATTGTAAATAAGAAAACAATTATTAATTGACTTGCTTGGATAAATAGAGGTAAACAAACAAACAAGGAGCTTTGCGTGGGGAGTCTTGTTTTTCTCCACTGTCCTTGCGAGAGTCTATGGGTTTTTTACTCATGCTGTTTTAGATAAACCAACTAGTCATCTTCACAAATCACCAATTTACTATTACTATTTTAAACTAGCCGTCTCCCCCATTTCTTCATTTGGAGAGTCTTTTTCTCAGATATGTTCTCAGTGCTAAGCAATAAAATCAGTTTGGGTACATGTTGTCCGTGTGTTTTAAGCGGTGTGAGGCGGTAACATCAGACCCATGTGACTCAGACTTTCGCTGTCCTTCATATTCATGACTCTGTGTGGGAACGCTGTTGGCAGGTGTTTCCATCCACAAGGCCTGTGAATCCTCTCCGCTATCAAATCCCCTTCACTTCCCATGATTCATCATGCTGCCAGCTTCAACAAATGTCATTCCAGAAGTCATTCCAGAAGACAGTTTGGCCATTGGCAACCAATAAGAAAGTGCTTTCCTGATGCATTATTGTGACCGTTACTTTTTTTACTTGATTTTGAGATTACTACAAAGAGTTTTCAATATATTGAGGTTTCACTGATTTGATTTAGTTGATTTAGAAATCAGTTTTTTTTTGCTCTGTAATTTTTTCAACTGGTTTTGCTACAGGATCCATATTTTACACTGGACAGCAAATGGAAACAACTTTGTACAAAGACTATCATTATAACAGTAACAGAATTTTCCATCAAAATGTATTAATACTAACATGCACTGCATATGCAAAATTATGAACATGATATGTGACCCTGGAGCACAAAACCAGTCTTAAGTAGCTCAGGTATATTTGTAGCAATAGCCAAAAATACATTGTATGGGTCAAAATTAGAAATTTTTTTAATGCAAAAAATCATTCCTACTGTAAATATATCAAAACTAAATTTTTGATTGCTAAGGACTTCATTTGGACAACTTTAAAGTATATAATATACTGATCAAATATACTGATAAAAAGTATTTATTTATTTATTGGATAAAAGTGGCTGCCACATGCATAAATGTAAATATCCTCAGAGGGTAGTTGAGAAACTAACATAGCAAGATACATACAATTTACAAAACAGTTTTTATTTTAAGTCTGTGCAGCTGCCTTAAATTATGAAAAATATTGGTTCAAATTGACCGGCCAATGTCATAATCATAAAATAAATTTTATATACACATAATCCACAACACATCAGAGTGTTAACACTTTGCAGACATTTCCATGACCCTAAATGAGAAAACGTCACAATTTCAGGCAGAACATCATAGATTGACCAGCATTTTCAACAACTAGAAAAATAGAAGGTCAAATCTTTCTGTTAATCCCATTAGCACTTCCACACCAAATTTCCAATATCATCAGAGGAGTGCAGTTTTAGAGCAGAAGGCAAATATGTGTGTGTGTGTGTTTCATGCATCGAAAGTGCCACTGCAGATGGATTTCTGTGCACAATAGCCGAATTCATTGTAATTCATTGTTCATCTATTCATCTGATTTTATTGATTAGTTGTCGCAAATAACCATAGCTTTGCTTTTATTTCTAAGGCAGGTTGATGGGTCAGTGTTTGTCACTGTAGCTTTAGTTTCTGTCTAAACGCTGAAAATAATGCAGAAATCATCACATTACACTCTTGTTGGTCAAGTTATTATCTGATCACACCTCAGAAGGGCCTCATTATAAAAGTCTCTTTCTTGCCAATTTCTTCATTTGCTCCAAATGTTATTTTTCCGAGTGCAAAGAACGGAGGTGCTAAAACAAGAGCGAGAGTGATATCGTTATATAAGACTCGCACCATCTGATCAGCTGAGCTGTGGATGCTCGTGTGTGTGTGTGGGTGAGAGCGTGTGTGTGTGTGTGTGTGAGAGGGGGTGTGTGTGTGTTTGTGTGTGTGTGAGTGTATGTGAGAGTGTGGGTGTGTGTGTGTG